CCTTGCTGGTACATGTATGGATGTTTGGCAAAATATCAAATCAGTAAAAATTGTAGTCAGTAAGAAGTTGACCTCAAGTCTTGTTTTTGTATTTTCTCTATTCATAAATTTGATTTACGGTTGTATTGCTCAAGTGCTCGTACTCCAAGCACTGTTTCCACAAAATTTCCTGCCGCAGCATGAGGTTTATCACCAGCCCTTCCAAATGCATCACACACACTTACAACGTGATATGCGGACATTGTTCACCAGGTATTTTACACTGATTATAGCAATGCCAGAACCAAAGAATCCCTTCCTAATTCTGATACAAAGACACCCCAAATAAGTTCTCGCTTCTCAAAGGTCCAACTGACCGCCTAACACTGAATTATTGATATTGGTGCTAAAAGGACTAGGGCACCTGATACTGAGATTGTGCACTTACACTTTGTACATTATGCAAGACATAGCTATCCAATCACACTATCCCCTCGTGACGTCGTGCTTCCTCAGCAACCATCTTGCATGTGGATGGCCGCGTCACGGGGGGAGTAAACTCAGACAATCTGTCAATCATGTTCATGCAGCTGGTGTCGAACATCAAAAGATGGACAAAACAAATAATGTCTCTCCATGACACAGTTTATGTTGGAAAGACTACTTATGGATGGAGGGCTTCAGTTGATGAGTCTTCACATTCTTGTAGGTACACACAGGCCTACGTGTGCATTCTGTTTACATATGAGTTTAAGGTATGGCTCCTCCAAGGGGATTGTGGTACCACTCCTATTATTACATAATGTAACGGACTAACGGTCATTGCAATAACAAGATCTGGACATAACTTGAAGAAAAACAAACAAGTCACAAGAAAAACTGGTTTTACATAACCGGAAACCACTTTTTCGTGCTTTATGCTGCAAAAAATGTTTTCGCAAATATGAACAAACTGGTTCAACAATATACCGCTGTGTGTTGTTTTTATGATGTAAATTTAACTGGCTAATTATTTGAGTAGCCATGTGATTTATTCCAAAGTCTTCAGACCGTAGGCAAATAACCAGGTGTTCCCAACTTCATGGAATGACCCCTATCAATATGTTCAAAAGAAATCCTTGCAGTTGAAATGGACGTAATAAGATCAAGGTCCCCACAAAAATACACACATGCACTTTAAAGATAAACCATTAACTGTTTCATCGTTCACTTAAAGAAAAAGTGGCCATGCAATATCAGTGGACTCCTGACAATCTTAAAGGATATTTTACCATAGAAAGTACATGTAATAGGAATCCTCAACACTTTCCACCTAGATGGGCATTTGCATCCGGACGCCAAAATAAGCAATGCAGCCAAACAGAGAGCTCAGTTTGTTCAAAGACAAACCAAAACAAAATCACAGAAGTATTGGTCTTAGGACTTTCTTTGGGATCCAGTCACATATTGTTTATTAAAACTTCCATTAAAAGTTTGACAAGAACATCAGCTGATTAAGCAAGTGATCTGTAATCGCAAAAAAGAATGATGAATCAATTAAAGAATAATTGAAACCCGTTTGGGCTTTTATAACAGTAATCATGGTCCTGCATCTGCAGTATTCACTGTGGCTACCAAATGTCCCACTACAGTCAGCCGAGGAACCTACATGTATCTCTTAGATTCTATGAAAGCACTCGGCACGAGGTGCGAAAAACGCAAACACCTACATGTAAGAACAGGCATCTAAACTGCCAATATTCATGGACCAACTCATCTTCTTTTGCCAGGATGTTAAGAGGAAATCCAAGCCCCATTGTAGCACCTGTGACCTGAGTTTCAAGACCACACAGAAGTATGTACAGCACTGCAAAGGGGACATGCACAAGAGGGTAAAGACTTAACATTCCAGTCACATTACCTGATATTTGGAAAGGAACTCTGTTACAACCATTGATATAGAACTAAAACTCTTACAATTTTTCTGAAGCTGTTAAGATAAAAGTTATTTTGGAAATGATCCAAGTCCTTACAAATTTCTCATTTTAGAGTTTTGTCTTTGGTTTTGATCCGAATTTCTTCATTTACACAGTTCCCATAATATTTTGCAAAAGGAAGGATTTTTTATTTGTGCTTAATATTTTTTCACCATTTCATTTAGAAGCTGGTTCATACATGCTCATTGAAATTGCCAGTATACGATCCAGTTGCCAGTCTTCTTCCTGAGTTTGAGTCCAATCCTTTTCTGAGTAATTAGGTCTGAAAACCACATTGATATAGGCGGAGTGTTCAGGCTTTAAAAAAACCGGAGTACTTGAAAATGAGATGCGATGTGAGTCCAAGTCCTGTTTTAAATATCTTGACCTTTGTTACACACCCCTTTCTGTTTCTCTAACACCCATTGACATGTATACTGTGATTTACCTTGAGACTTGAGAAAAAGACTTGACAGTGTTGCAGTCTGGTACACTGAATTGTCCGGTCGCAGTCAGACTGCTCCATTTGAGTAGATTACTAACAGAAGATGTTAATGCTGTTCCAGGTTTTACAATAACTTAAGCATTCACTCTCCCTTGTTTCTCCCTTTTTAACTGATATAGCGAAGGGAAGGAAAGTCCAAGGAAGAGTCCAGCAAGGAAGAGAGCTATGTGACGGTGGATGCAGTAGGTTTTGATGATGACAACGATCTGGATGCTGAATTGATTGACTTGCAGTTGGAATCGCAGGGAGATGATGATCTTCTTGTGAGTTTGCCATAACATATCCCATGACAATTGTGTGATACCAATTGGACTTCTTTAAGAAGTCACATTTATCTGTTAAATGCAGGTCCTGATGGAGCAGCAACACCTCTGGAAACTAAAGAAACAACCTGCTAGCATTCTGAGAAACTGTTCAAGTTTCTCTGTCACAACTAAGTTATGGTTTTGTTGTCCTCTACTTGGTTAGATGAGACTGAATCTTTAAAGCTCTGTTCTGAGTTTCTATGAAAGTCATGATTCTATTCCTACCTTTGTGTGCTCAGTTGAATTACTCTGTCTACATGTATTGACATCTCAAGCCAGTCTACATGTCAACTGTCACATTCATACTGGGTGTGTGGATTGAAAATCGCTGCAGGAAATTCTATGTTCTGTGACGTAGTATGAGAAATCCTGACAATATTTTGATCACACATCTCATGTTCAGTTAAAAGTAGACTCATCCTGCTGTTCCATAGTTTTTGATTTTATCACCAAGCAAGACACTTTCTCTCTTTCTCATAACATTAAAGCAAACTTTCACTTGGTTCTGGTAGCAGTCTAAACATGTACAATGAAGGAAATCTTCAGGGTGGGATATGGATTGAGTCTGCTACAACCAAAAGAACAGCATCTTGTTGGCTTTTTCTGCCTATTTTCACTTGTTATATGCATTCTCCTCAAAGTTGGGTACCAGTGCTGTCACACTAGTATTTTTTCAATGAAGCAAGTCACTTGTACTTAATGAATTTGGATTTCAGGTCTTCTGTTCTTTGGTGAGAAATGTGATCTTGCAGTTTATGCAAACTGAACACATGATTGCATCAGTAAACTGCCATAGAGTTTGCATATTTCTATCTTTTTCACTTTGATAGAAGGTGGTCTTTTTAACATGAACACGCGTGTCTGTCAGCTGTTCAAATTACAAAGGACATTGCTGTAACTTGCTGAGAGTGCTACATTCATGTTCATATTCAACATTAAAACTGCTCTGAAATGTTTTCTTCATCTCATTTTGCACTGCAACTATTTGGTATCTCCTCAGCCGTAATGCCTCATATAGCCTGCAGAGACAAAAGATTTCCTACTTGAGATGAAGTATTTTTTTTACAAGCATTAACATTTTGTTCCTTCAGTCTAAATTATCCCGTCACCATAGAGTACAGTTTACATCCAGTGGGTCATGCTTGAATCTCTCCCTTATTGAAACAGATGTTCATTGCCTGTCATAATTTCTCATAGTCCACCTCTTTATTTAACCGCGTGACCTTCTTGCAGAGCAGTGCAGACAACGGTATCAATTCTCAACATTTTACATTGGGTACAAAGCATCTGATGGGAGAAATTCTCTGCTCAACTTTCACTGCCTCCTTTGTCAATAAGTTTAACGTTGTTCATCGCACAGCTACTTACCAGCGACATGATTGGTTGTTTATTTTGGGTTGATTGAGCCTGTTGAAAAAAGGAGCGTCTCCAAAGCAGAGGCATTTTTACAAACATGACCTAATTAAGACAGCTCTTTGCAGATGGAAAGGATCTATTTATGTCAAAAATCATTTCCATTCAACACATGCCATTTCCACAGTCTTTCCTAAAATGTCCCAAATCCTACAGTGTGCAGGAAACCGGCAGTAAATTCTCAGCATTCTATCAGTGTATCCTCCTCAGCAGGCATTGACTTGTCTTGACTTTCCTCAATCCTGACAGATAATCCTCTCAAACTGTAGACTGTGGATGATTTCTGGGGGAAAATGATTCACTTGCCACACGCCCAAGTTCTTTTCATCTTTTAACATGCATCTCTCTGCACTGAAAGGGATTGACTGTAAAGCCTTTTATCACTTAATTTGCTGATCTTTGTCATATATGACTGTGGTCCCTTGAGCCTAAGGTTCCACCTTTGTACTTTTACAGTACAGAATACATGTACTCAAGTTGCATATCCTCCTTTGTAACTGCTTTTCTCATCCAATGCAGTTAAAGCTGTTTTTTTTCTAAAAGAAAAAACATGACACTTGAGGGTTCTGGTAACCATTCAGACTATAAGACCTAACAGAGTTGCATTGGTGAGAAGTGCCAGTGTTCGTGCAAAACGAGTCCAAACATTACAAATGATCTTGTATGTACAGCAAGGAACAGCATTACTCAAAGGCAGATGACGAAGATCGCAGTTATGCGTGTATGTGAGCCAGGCACCTTCCATGGGCACAAGCGGTGTTTGTTAAAACCTGTTGAGCATCAGCTGAAGTGTTGCAAGGAATTGTTTTCTGTCTAAAATTTCATGAAATCTTAACCTCCTTAGGCTCGAATTGATTATTTTGGCCACATAAAGACAGTGTTTGGGTTTTCCTTTCTTCCTGCACCATTATTTCAGTTTTAGTTATTTTTGTTGTTAATCTTTCTGCTTGCATTGTTAGCTGTTTTTGATATCAGTCCAGTGGTGATAGCATGAATTCAACCATTCTTTATTTCTGTGAGCTTTTCTTCCTGTCCTCTTTAGGATGCCACATCTTCCGAGGAGGGAGAGGATGCAGTCATCATTATTGACAGTGGGAATGACAAATCCTCTGAAGACAAAGAAGATGTTGATCAAAACACTGCATCAATTGAGGATATGCCAAAGCTTGAGCCAATGTCTGAGGATGAAACCTTAGCTAAGGAAGGTATTGCTCAGGTCTCTACCTCAGAGCTTATTGATGACACTTCTGGTTCTAAGGTTCCTGATGTCCAAGTCATTGAAGCAACTAATGAAGAACCAGCAGAAGCCCCCATGGAAGTTCAAGAAAGCACTACCAACAAGGCGGTTGCTATCTGTCCTGAGGGACCAGATGCAGATTCTAAGTCTGGCTTGGATAACCTAAAGGTCACTTTGACCTTTGAAAACCAGCCTTTGTCTGACACAAAGTCGGCTTCTGCCATACCAGAAAATGATCAGCTGGAAGTGCACTCGGCTGATGCAAATGTTTCTTCTGGTGGGTCTGAAATGGTAGCAGTGATGGGATCTGAGAATCAGGCTGAGGATCAGGCCAGCGCAAAGCAGGTTGAGTCTGAACAGACTGAGTCTTCTAAGGTTGGTAGGGAAAGCAAAGAGTCAACAGCCATGGATGTAGACCCTGCCTCTGGGGTGTCTGCACCTCCTGAAGAACAGCAAGAGAAACAGCAGCAGCAAGATGATATTGTGCAACTGATATTTGATCCCAACAAGTCTGTTGGTAGGTGTTGTTTCACATACTCCTCTTCCTCTGCATATTTGTCTCTTAAAATCTCATCTTTCATCTTCTGTAACTCCTTCTTTCCTTCTCTAACCTATCAAGGATTTCACCTTTGTAAATGTGTATGAATATCCAATTCATAGTTAATGGTATGAGGACATATCGGATAAATTTAGACTGAGATGGAATTTCAAGAGGGTGGCGTGTAAGTGAGCAGTGGATAACTGTCAGACCATTGTCTCATATTTCGTTATGTTCTTTTTTTAATCTACTTCCAAGAGGAGTTTGATCTGTCAAAAAAAATTACGAAATGACATATGTAGCATTTGAATACTTGGCTTGTGTTATTGTGCAACATTTTGACATTTTATTGGCACTGATTCCCATGCTGTAAGAAGCATTATTCAGGACACTCCTGTCTGGAGATAAATGGTTTCAGTAGTTTCTCTAGTGTTCTTTCCTGTTTTGCCCTTTTTCCATACCAGCTGTCTGTCCTAATGAAAGACAAAAATTGACTTTGTTCTTTATATGGAAGTGACTGGTCAGACGCCGTAAAAAACACCAAGGCATACGTTCACAATACCTCGTCCAAGTCTGCTGTGTAAACTTTGGGTACATTGTGAACAGCAACTGGTACAGTTGCACATACTGCCTGTGTATTGCTTTGTGT